GGAGGAGGATGGGGCGTCTTCGGCCTCTTTCGGGCTGTCAGACATGGCTGCAGCCGCGGCCGCAGAAGAATCAGTGGATGACGTGCACGGCGGGGCAGGTGGGTTTTCGATGGTCACACGTGTGCGCTCTTGCACCTGGATGGGTGCATGTGTCAGCGTGTCAGCGTTTGTGCGTATGTGCGTGCGTTCGTGCGTGCGCATGCGCACGTATGTATCACTGTTTGTGTAGGTGTGTGTGTGTGTGGGTGGTTGGGTGTGTTTGGATGCACACGTGCCTCTCTGTCAGCCTTTGTGTGGTCTGACACGCAGTCATCCTCGCTGTTCAAACCCGTCACACGAGAACCCGTGCCGGAAGCAGCTGTGCCTGCACCTGAGCGATTGATGTGCTGCGGCTGCCGCAGCGATGTAGCGCAGCCCCTGACCGAACCACCGTGCGCCTCGCGTGCCGCACAGGCCACGACAGCGCTGGCAGCGGGGGCGCGCCGCTGCAGGCTGAGCTGGAGCAGAAGGTGGGGGGCGCAGGCGGGGCGAGTCGCGGGTAGCAGAGGAAGGCGGAGCTGGCTGGGCATACTTGCTGCCGCCCCTGCTGGTCACCCGGTCGCGCTGACTGGCCCGCGATGCAACATCTGAGGCGTTGACGCCTGCCCATGTGCCGCAATGGCCTCCCATTGCCCACTGGCCCTACCATGGCGTTTTTCCATGTGCACGATCTACCCAGGTGCTGGCGCTGCTGCAGGAGCGCCGCACGCTGGAGGCCAGCCACGCGCGGGACCTGGCAGCCAGGGATGCTGAGGTGGCGCGGTTGCAGTTGTGCCTCGACAGCGAGGTGTCGGCGCTGAGGCGGCGCCAGGAGGAGGTGACACTTGTGACACACAATGGCGAGGTCTTCTTTTGAGATGTGGTTTGGCTGCAAGCGAAACAATTGAGATTGTTTCAGGGCTTGCCGGCGCCTGCGAATGGGTGTCAAGACGGGATCGTCTTTGTTGGCACTGGCCAGGGGTCTGTGCACGAAGTGCGGCCGTAGGCCGGCGCAGCCCAACGCACGTCTGGGCAAGGAGGCGTGCGACGTCAGCCGCATGCGGGGATAATTTCAGACTGTGAGTGATGGATACAGCAAGCAAGGCGCTGCTTGTTTCTGGAGGTTTGTAGGCCCACCCCAACTGAGCACCCCCCCCTCCAAAACAGCAGCAAATCCAATGTGGCCTTGATGGTCCCGTGTGTCCATGCTTCGAGGCTCACTTCGATACTCCTCAATCGCAACAAGCCACCGCCGGCCGGCATATTCACGTGCAGTCGCTTCACAACAAGCCTTGCCTAGCAGTCCCTGGGCCTTCCAAGACCGCCCCCCTCCGCCTGTGCCTGCAAAACGAACCAACCCCGCCAGGTGGAGGCGCGCGCCCCTCTGGTTGCCGTCCAGCTGGCGGAGGCGCGCGCCGCGCTGCTGTCAGGCGACCTGGACGTTTCGGACGAGGCCGCGGGCCGGCTGCGCGTGGCGGCGCAGGAGGGGCGGCTCGGGCTGGCTGACGCGGTGCGATTTGCCCTGCACCAAGGAATGCAGGTGGGGGCCGTAAGTGTTTTGCTTGATTCAGGCAGTGTGTGAGGGGCACCGTCGGGCTGTCGCGTACCGAAGCGCGCCGGCAGGCCGGGGACGGGCGACGTGGAGAGGGAGGGGGCAGGGTGGCCGCTCCCTGATCGGGCGGGCTGCAGCTGCATTAGCGTGAGACGTGCTGAGGGTGCCCTGCACGCGCGCCGCAGCTGCCATGGAGCGTCGCGGCAGATGCCTCCAATTTTGTCTTGACGGCCTGATTCAATGCACGCGCCAGGACGCGCGGCGCGACAACGAGCGCCTGCGGCTCACGGGTAGCGCGGCGCGCGAGGCGGCGGCGCGCCTGGAGGCAGAGTGCGCGCGGCTCAGGCGCGACAACGCGCGGCTCGCGGCGGCGGAGGTCCGAGGGGCTAGGGTTTGTGCTTTTGAAAGGCGGAGACAAGCGTGTTTGCCGCTGGCACTCGAACCAGCAGCCGTCTTTCGCAACGAACTTTGACCCATTGGATCCGGGCTGCCTTGTGCTCGGGGCGGTGCGAATTGATGTGGCTAATCTTTCTGTATTTCATGGCGCTCACGGCGGCGCGCCGTTTGGATCGCAAAGCGCCGCCGCTGCTGGCCTCAACCCCAGGCTGAGCGCCAGTCTGACGCGGGGGCGGCCGTGTCGGCGCTTGAGGTCCGCTGCCAGCGGCTGTCTGTTGAGTTGGATGAAGCCGCGGCCGCCGTGGAGGTGGGGCATGAGCTGGGCTGAGGGCATTGGATGCAACCATTGGTCAGGGTGATATCCACTACTCCCAGAGCCAACCTCATCTCACTCCTGATGGGATGGCTCGTTGCAGCACCACATCGATCGAATGGGCGTCATAGTACGCTCGTCGTCTGTACTGAAACATGTAGGGGGCTGCAGGTTGGGAGCAGGTGCAGTGGCACAGCACCACCCTGTTCGGCCCCGCCAGGACCCACCACCTCCGGTCACGTGCACTCCACAATGCAAACCGCCGCATCCGCCGCCGAGCGCCTCCCCCTCCCCCCGCAACTCTCCGCCGCGTTGACAGGTGCTGCGGGCCAAGGGGCGCGCGTACGACGAGGTGGAGGCGCGCGCAGAGCGGCTGGTGCGCGTGCTGACGCTGCAGGCTATTCAGTGGCAATTCTGGCAAGCCGTTAACTGGCACCACTGCTGAGGCTGGTAATGCTTCTGAGAGTGGCTTGTCAAGGTTTAGGAGCGCAAGGTTGTTGAGCTGAACAGGTGCAGAGACGGGACGCCGATGCCTGCATTCCTCGATTGCAGGAGGCTGAGCTGGAGCGGCTGCGCCCGCTGGAGGCGTCCGCGGCAGCGCTGGCCGCGCGGCTGCGGGAGGCGGAGGCGGCGGCGCGCTCTGCGGCGGCGGCGGGGGTGGCGGCGGTGACCGAGAGGGGTTACTTGTCACGGGAGCTGCAGGTGAGGCTGTTGAGAGTGGTGGACGTGCGTCATAAGGAGGCAGGGGCGTGTGGCGGGCGACGCGAGGTGGCTGTTGTGGGGCTGGCTAGGCCGCCAACTTGGCGCGCTCAGGGCTGCCCGCCAGGTGTTTTGCAGCACGATTTCGCAGTGAGTGCACGCTTATACACTGGCACGCAACGAACGGCTTCTTTCATGCACACACATATGCACACATGCATACACACGCGCGCGCACACACACACACACACTTGTGCACGTATACGTGCTCTCTTGTGGCAGGCTGCGAATGACAGGGTGTTGCGGCTTGAGGCTGACCTGGTAGCCAGGGACGAGAAGGTGTGGGGTGGAGGGGCCTGAAGTTCACCACGCGCATCAATGCATGCTCGGTTTGTGCCGTGCTGGGCATGGGCGTTTGGGCGACCTCCAGCCCACTGCATCCCTGGGTGTGGGACGGGATTGATTTACGCAACGGGACTGGCTTTGCAGCAACACATCCTGTCATGCTGAATCTGAGGGAGGGCCGCTGAGATGCCATGCACGTGCTCTGCCCAGGCCTTTCCCCAGCATCCAGCATCCAGCATCCAGCACCCAGCATCCAGCAATCCAGCTGTCCCCCCCTGCCTCAGCACCTCCTCCTTCAAATTGCCCCCCCCCCC